CATGATCGTCCGATTTAACACCTTTGTACTATTTTTTCTGCGCTTATGTAAAGTCGCTTGTCTACGCAGATAAATCCGAGGCGATTGGTGCCTAGCAAAAGAATATTCGGCGGGTTATTACTGATATACGGCTGTAATCGCTGCAAAATTGGGTCGAAAATTGACCCTCTCGCCAGGAATTTATTCGAGTCAGCCGTGGCGGTCACTCGCCAAGAATCACTTTTAAATTCAATATAATGGCAGACCCATCTTTATAATAAAAGTACCGTTAAAACAGCCTTTTGAAAAACAATTTAATATTGCTTGTAATGGCGTTGATAGACAAAGGCAGTCCTAAAAAATAAATAGAAATTTTCTTTAAGGCTTGACAGGCCTTTAAGCTTATTGCGCTTTACCGCAACATTACTTTTTATATGGACCTCACTTTTTAAAGCACTTTTTTCTGAATTTTAAAAAATGGCAATATTTGATGCGAATGAAATTTCTGTTCATTGGTTACTTTCTATATTAGCAAAAATAGTTTTTTTGATGCTAAAAAGTGCGTCTGAGAGGTCACAATCGGTAAAAAGGCTCATTCAAGGCATAATTTGTTTCATATGGCCTTAGTTTTAATAAAGTAATTGTCTGAACTATCTAGAAGCGCGAGTTGGAACATTAAATTTGACCTAAGACAAGAGACGATAGTAGGTAGACTTAGAAACTTTAAAGGGTTGCTGTAGGAAGGAAGACTTATCGTAGAGTTCCAACGGAAATGTCTTAATGCAAGAAATAAAAATTATTTTTGAACCGACTCTAACTTATCAGAAGGAACTTGATAAGTGGGGTTCTATATTAGTGAACCATACTCTAATAATGGCATCACCAAAGTCATTCAAAGTGCTGATAAAATTCACTGGTAACAAAATTGAGAGGGTAAGCTGTCTTACTCTCCCAGAGAGAGAAATAACAGCTATTTGTTTTGGCAATTACATATGAATCCATTACACAGTTAACAGATTTCTGCTTTGAAGTATTATCAAATACTATTTTAATAAAATTATGAATTACCCATGAAGCCATAAAGATCCCGGTAAGTAATATTTAAGTAGGCCATTGATGCAATGGCAACAAAATTGCCTTATTAGTTGACTTGTATGAGGTGGGATCAGAAAATATCCGTTATTTTCAAATTTCGTGTGTTAAGTGTATTCGATTTTCGAAAAAATAAAATAAATAAATAAAATGAAATTAAATGCACAAGCACATTTGAAATGTTAACTGTGGCGCTTGGTGAGTATATTATTAGCAGAACACCAGTTCAATGACAATGCTCGTCCTGGTCGTCCGAGCACATTAATAACCCATGAAAACATTGAAGCAGTGAACAAAATGATTTTGGATAATCATCGAATCAATATCAGAGAGGTTGCTGACGCTGTTGGCTACCGTTCGGATCATGTCAAGCAATTTTTACGAATATTTTAGGCTTGAAACGTGCAGCAGCGAAGATTATTCCCAAATTGCTAAATTTTGAACAAAAACAACGTCACATGAACATCGCTCAGGAGATGTTGAACATCGTCAACGACGATCCAGATTACCTCAAAAAGTTCATAACTGAAAAATATGGCGAATCAAGACCGAAAAAGGCACGCCAAGTTCAGTCAGATGTGAGAATTTTGCTCACTGCATCATGAATTCTTGCCACAAGTGCGTACGGTCAATAAGGAATAATAGGAAGTTATGCGCCGTTTGCACTAAGCAAATCGTCAGAAACTCACAGAATTGTGTTGGTAAAACAATCATGGATTTTGCTCCATGTGCGTGAGTTTTTGGCTGACTTTTTCCTCTTCCCAAAACTAAAGACACCGATGAAAGGAAAACGTTTTGTTACGATTGAGGAAATAAAAAAAATTGAAACAGGAGCTAGTGGCTGGCATAAGTGTATTATAGGGAGGAACAAGTTAGTTATTGATGAATAAAAAAAATACTTTTTGAAAAAATTTAACCTAAAGAGCGCTTTTTTCTACACGAATTTTCCATAATTGCGCATTATATTATCTTTAATTTACAATTTATAGAAATAATTTACGTTCAATCAAGTACGGTTTGCTTATAATTGAATTCTTTTTTTTTTTTGGTATTTTCGGATTCAAAAAACACTCTCTTTGAAGTTTTCGAATTTAAAATTCATAGATTCATTCAAGGCGAATTCATTTTGCCTTGGATTCATTTTGCAAGAATTGTGACATCTCCGAAAAATTGTCAGTAAAAAAAATACAAATACAAATTTTAATAAATTTAAAAATAGATAGTGTTACTAGTGAAGAATGAATAAATCGCCAAAGCATATATATACACAGTAACATCTGTTACTCAAAGATCTAGAGGCAAGTTAAGATATTGCTGGATATATGTACATATACATAATATTTGGGTTTGTATATACATATATACTGAATTGCGCTCAACAGCTAAGAAAAACGGAAAAGCATATATACATACCTACATATCTCCCTTATCCTTCATTTTATACATATACAATAGCACATTCATCCGTTCGTCCACATTCAAGCCAAATTAGTGTCAAAGCCAAGTACATACATACATACACAATGGAAGTGAAAGAAAGTGGAATTAGTATGAAAAAAGAACGTAGATTTTCAACGACACGTGATAAAATGCGCCAAAGAACAAGCAGCAAGCATAATAAAATGTCACTGTTAAAATTGAAGCCGACAACAAGCGGATCAAGAGTCGTACGACTAAATTGCATTTTCAGTTATACTTAAGTGCTACAAGTTTAACGAAGGCTATTTAAAAGGCAGTAAAAAATGTCCTAAAAAAAAAGCAAAAAAAAATAATACAAATGAAACCTAAGTATGTACATACGCATAAACTAAATTGATACCAGGCTTGAGATACATACATATATATTTTTAAGGACATTTTCTGTTTTTTTTCTGCTCCCTCTTTGGTACTGTCTCAGCGTGTCCATTCTGAGAAATACGTAACCTAAGCAAATAGTTATATTTTTAGTAACCACCAGTCTATTCTCTATTTATATACAGTGAAACTTCCTTTAAAGGCCACCTCTAATAAGCGGGCACTTTTTCAAGTCCCTTCAGCTTTTTCCCATACAAATTCACCTCGGGTAAATGGACACCTCTATTGACCGGTCAAAAACTTTGCTCCCATTGGTGCCCGCTTGTTAGAAATGTCACTGCATATACTATATATTCTTAGGGGTAAACTTTTTTTTATTCGATGCCTACATTATTTACAGAACACCCCCTCAAAGTTTCATTGCCCTACGTACAGCGATACGTCCTATGTGTTGTCGGTCAGTTCAAAATTAAAATAATTTTCCAATTTTTTGTGTCATTATATCTCAGAGACGACAGTGCTTAGCACAAATTCTTACGGTCCGTTGTTTTCTATTCAAAAAAGCATTTTTTATTGAGGAAAAAAGTAAAAGAAATACCATTAAAATAATTATCCTGTGGAAGTGACTATTTTTCCCCGTCTCTCTGATGATTTTCGAATAACATTTCTAAAAAAAAACGTCCTCTGTCTTCGATCAAATCATAGAACCATTCCCTGATTTTTAAAAGAGCCGAATCGGTGATCCCCTCAATCATTTTGAATCCGTCGAAAATTCAAATGGGCTTAAGGAGCAAAGTCTGGAAAATACGTCGGCTTTGACAAGACTTCCCATTTCAGCGTTTCCAGTAGTTGTTGGTCATACCAGCTACGTTTGATGAACATTGTCATGTTGAAAAATTACCTTTTCACGACTTTTCTGTCGTTTCTGACCGTTTCTCAAACACATTCCCCATCTTCCATCTTTATTGGCTCTTTGTCTTCGACGCAGATTCGCCCACAAACTTCCACAAGCATTCAGCTGCATTTGTCAGCAAATTAAAACATAAATAACACTGGAAATGATGTACTAAAAACCCGAACGAAATGTTTTTCTGCCCGACTTTGAAGAAGTGCGAATATCAATCACCGAAAGCTCCGTCGGCATTGGGAAAGATCTCTCCGAGCCGTTCGTTAACAAACGAGCATTCAGAGAAGGTGATTCCTGATCATGTGACTTCTTTAATTTGTTGCTGGAGAAGAGTATAAGAGCTGCAGGGCAGTATAGGGAAGATACAATCTTATATAACAGTATACAGCTGCTGGCGTACGCCGATTATATTGACATTTTTAGCCTAATAACCGTGCTGTGAGTTCGGTTTTTTCCAGACTAGATAAGAAAGTGAAGAATATAGGTCTAATAATAAACGAGAGCAAGACGAAATAGCTTCTGTAATAAAAAAAAAAATAGAAATCACATTCACGACTTGGCTCCCACGTCACTGTTGACAGTCACAACTTTGAAGTCGTAGTTAACTTCGTCTATCTTGGAACCAGTATTAACACCAATCATAATGTCAGTCTTGAAACCCAACACAGAATCACTCTATGTGAGAATATAATATTGTATAAAAGAAACTTGTTAGATTTGTCTGGTTGGAATATAAACTCAAGTGCTCCGACTCTTTGCACGCACTGTTTCTTAAATTTAATTCTAATTCCTCTTTTATACCTCTATAGAAGCGGCATCTAATATTTCAGTCTTGACTCCTTTTCGACATTCCTTAAATGGTATAAGAGACTGCAAAGTGCTGGGAGAAACAATTAATGACAATTTGTTGCGTTGATGTAACACTGTAAATAGGAAATTCTGACGAAAGCGGAGACAGCTTACGTAAACTAATTAGCAAAGGAATGACACTTAAATGAAGGGTGTAATCTATTTTACAGAAACAATTAGTTTCCATCCAAGGAAAAAATAATTTTTTCTACAGCATTTTAAGAGCAGAACTTTTATTCTGTAAAAAAAGTTGCTGTGAAAAATTTAAAGGTTTTATTTTACTCACTACTAATTTTATGGAATACTTTATATTAACTCAGTTTTACATATTCACTCCACCACTTTAAAATTAATTCATTCAACTTCCATTTACTTTCAGTTGAATAAGAAAAGAGCAAGCAAAATCCACGAGCACCTGAGTATTTGAAACGAGTTAACTCAACGCAGTCAACATATACCCACGCGGAAACTATATTTCAATCATTGCCGCTACCAATAACACCGCCACCATTTCCACCATCAGCACCATTGATCCGGCAGCAACCGCCTCCACCTCGGCTGCTGCTGTAACCCCAACTGCAGCGATGCGTCGTTCCTCGTTTACGCCCGTCTTCAGTTTGACCACACAAGAGCCGCTCATTGTTGTCGAAGAAACAAATACCGCCGAAGATGGCGAGGAGACGGAAGGTGCAGCTGGTGGCGCTGATGGTGGTACAGCAGCTACACGCAAGTCCACCAGTGACGATTCGGATCCCGACTCGCCTGTCAATCCATATTTGTTATGCCCATTTCCGGACATGCAACAGCGACGCAAACATTCTTTGCCATCGCTTCAAATCACCGAGGGTATTACAGCCAGTCAGGTGCGTCGCTTGTCGGAGGTGGGCGGGGAGAATGGTGGTCTTAGCCCGAAGGAAGTGGAGTTTTTAGCAACTTTATCGCAGAAAGCAAATCCGGCAGCGGGCGGCAGGCGACATTCAGTTGTTACCATTTCAGCTGTTCCACCGACGTTGTTTGGACGCAATCGACGAGAATCACTAACAGGCATACCGCTAAGGTGAGTAAAAATATGATGGAAAACACTTTTTGTAAATATTTACTGTATGACAGCTGTGGTTTCACCCATGGGGACGTTAAATAATTCCAGAGTCTTCACTTCCTTGTTCATTAAGAACATCTCCATTATTTGCTTTAAAGTTTTCTGCAAAGCTCAGCTTTTCACTTTACTTCTTGGGTCTCGATCGATTGGTTTCTGAAAGATATACATTGTGCATTTATAAATCTAGTATTGATATGTTTCAGTGGAGGTCTTGGATGTACAAAATAACTAGCGCACCCGCCGAATTTTTTTCATTTGTATAGTTGTAGACTTCATCTTCGTTTTTCCGCAGAGAGGCAAATCGTACCGGGTGCTTGATCCACTTTCCAGGAAATTAAGAATAAATAAATCGGTTCCAGGTTTACCTTCCGGTATAGAAAGCCTAATGCATATTCATTTAAACTAACAGCTAACTAAATATTAATCAAGTAAAAAGCAATCCATTATTTTTGCAATCAATAGCTCTAGTGATCCGTATCTCGCGGTCTATAAGTCTGATTGCATTACGCTATATGGCATTAGAAAGATGATATTTTATATTAAGAAAAATAATAGTAGAAGTATTGATTACTTAACTCAGTAGTAATAAAGTGATTGTTCCTGATTTCTATAGTCAATTATGCACAAATATAATTTCCTCCTCGGCGTTGAAGACATGTCCAAAATGTCGATAAAGTGATAGAATCGTCGAGTCAGACCGTCAAGCGAGCACTGTCCCTATTGGCCATTAGCTAAGGACTGCATAGAAAACAATTGGGAACCACTCAAAAGGATACACAGAGAAGCTCGATGCATGGGTGCAACATGAGTTAATGAGAAAAACCCTCATGAACTGAATTTTTGCCTCCGAATTGCTGTTGAATCGTAACAAAATCGATCCATTACTGAAGCAGATGGTAACTGGCAATGGTAAATGGATCACTTGCACCAATGTCAAACGAAAACGGTTGTGGTCGAAGGGCAGTGTACCGGCATAAACGGTTTCTAAGCCAGGATTGACGGTTAGGAACGTTTTGTTTTTTATTCCGTGGAATCGGCAAAGAATTATTCACTATAAGCTGCTTCCTTACGACCAAACTCTTAATTTAGACCTGTACTGTCAACTATTAGACCATCTGAAGGAAACAATCGTCAAAAAGCACTTAGCTTTGACAAATTGGAGAGAAATTGTTTTTCATCAGGACAACACCAGATCATACACTTCAATAGAGACTCGACAGAAGCTCCCAGAACTTGGTAAGGGGTTAATATAACTGTATCCATCTTAGAGTTCGGAACTCAGACCAATCTGATTACCATCTGTTTCCGTCTAAGGCAAATGATTTGGCTGGTAAATAATTGACCTCAAGGCAGCCTGCGAGAATCGATTGTCCAAATTTTATCGATCAAATCGGTGCATATATCACATAAATCGTGTAATTCTAACTATGGTAAATAAAGCCTTCATCATTTAATGTAAAAAATAATGGATTAATTTTTACTTGACCTAATATCTAACAAATGTTAAGTAAAGTGAATGATAAAAATAATTGTTTCGATTTTTTTATACGCTTCCTTGTTCACTTACATTTCTTGATACAAGGACAGCATATTCCTAACAAGAGAAAAATAATCTGCAGCTTTCGGTTTCCCAAAAAAAGTTGACCGCCAAGCGCAGAAGTCATTCCAGGCAATTAGTTGATAATAAACCTTTTCGATTTGGATTGACCTGTGCCTTGCCGAACAGAAGGTCAATCATTAACATGATTTATACACTCTCTCCAGATCGTTGGAAGAAGCAAAGCTCATAGAATGAGAACTAGTTTTTAAGACTTGAAGCATATGAATGACAACCCATATGAGGAGGTCAATGTTTGTATTGATCTCCATATTAATGGATCTTTTATCAATGTTCGACTTTGTATTCGAATATTTCAAAATGTGCTATAAATAAAGGTTAAATTCTCTACAAAACCATGCTACTATAGACAATGAAGTTTTTAGCTGCTGCTGGTATGTATTTGTAAGTCTATGTCTGTGGAATTATACGATATATTACGCCCTCCTAGAGATTATGTCTCGATGTAATCTTTCCATTAGAATTTTTCACTAACGAAAACGCATTAAAAAACCAAATCTCCAATCAATGTTTTGACTGAAATATGTAGGTTATTGAATAATCGGAATATCAACACTGGATAACAGCTTGAGAACTCTAAAGTTTTCCAATCGGTATGGAGAGCAAATATTCTTATGAAGTTCATTATAATGACAAAAAGAAAAAAATATTTTCACAATTTTTATTCTCCCAATTTTCAAACATTTCTCTTTACTCTCCATTCACAGCGGCAGCAGACGTGGCAGCATTATTCAAGGACCACCACTTACCGACCATCGAGGCAGCATTCACAATTTGCAACTGGACATTATGGATGGCATTGTACAGACACGAAAACGTGCCGGTAGCGGTGTATGGACGGCACCTGTACTGCAAGAGACCGAAAATAATGTGCCGGTGCAAACATAAATCATAACAACGTCCCCCTACCCCACCAATCGGCCCACGACCATCATACTAAAAACTAATAACATCATCGACATCAACGCCAGCAACAACAAAACAAAGAACGAAGATGAAAAAAATGATAGTCAAACTAAGAGCAGCAAAACAATTAAGCAAAAATGCAGCATCAGGAGCAATCGCAAAAACAAAAGCAAAAAGGAAAATGCGGGCAATTCGGAGGGGAAAACAGTTGAAACATCAACAGCAACACCAACAACAACACCAACAACGACGACAACGGCAACAGCTGGTAATGGACCATCAACATCGTGGCATAGCAATTTAGTTTCACGTTTTGGCTCATTGCTTTGCTGGCAATCGCTGGACTGTTGAACTGTTGAACTGTTCAACAATCGACCAAGAAGCGACTGGAGTAACTCGAACGAACTGTGCAAAGAAAGAGTGGTTAGTATACATACATTGCGGTAAGGAAAGTAGCCTGAACTAGTACATACATATGTACATACATTCGGTCAAAAGCCAAATGACCAATTGGCCAGCCACAGGAAATGCTGTACAGTGCGGGCAGCATGAGTGACGAACAACAATATGGCGCAGCTCAATTTGGTGGCAAAATGCGAAAACAATCATAAACAATTCTGGGTTCGCAAATAGTACGGGTCAAGAAATTGCACAAAAGAATCTGAAAGGGAGTGAAAGAGTCACAAGTCCATCGATTTGCAAGCTTTATTTATGCTTGTGCATATGCACATATGTATGATACATATGTACATATGTATGTATGTGGTCAATGCGAATACCATCGGCTCTGTACAAGCATAATTGTGCCAAAGGTCAGTCGTAGGGGGACGTTGGAGAGAAAAGAAAAATTAATTTTTATTTAAATTTTCCACTTTCTTTTGTTATGACAATTAAACATTGGTGTGCTTTAAGAAAAAACGTTATGGTGGAAAATTACGAGATATCTTTAAATGAAAAGCTTAAAGCAAATGCCATTAACGATGGAATACTTTATGAACGGAGAGCAGGAAACAACTAACCATGCAAGTAAGTATAAAAATATTCATCGCAATATTATAATTAAACTTTTATACATTTTTTAAGGACCCAGTAAAAACTATTAGTTTAGCACCAATAGGTTAGGTTAAGTTATGGTGGTTACCGATCAATCGCATCAAATTCACTTAGGCCTGGCTCAGACCCGTTGTGATGCCACAAAATTTTGACCCTTCGGATTCGCTATTCAACCATTTCGATTCTCTAATGAACTGCATTAGGCTCATTGCACTGTAGTAGCTGAGTGGTTAGCATTGCGTACCGCCATTCGGAAGGTTCGGGTTCAAGACCTGGTGTTGCACTAACATCCAAAAAATTATAGAAAATAAATTTAAATAAAAGATTAATTGAGGTCGTCCCTCGGCAGGGAATGAAAACCCCTTCGAGTGCATTTCTGACATGAAATAAAATCATAAAAAAACCATCAGCAGTTCGGAGGTGGCTTTATATAAACAGTAGGTCCCTCCATTGGTTGGAAAAACATCAAGACGTAAAACCAGCGTCTTGGAGGAGGTGCTCGGCCAAAAATCTTCAGCGGTTGCAAAGCGCCAATTATATATATATATATGATGAACATCATTACACCTATAACTTTGAAGTCGGCTATCTTCATCGAACCATCCAGCAATGGTATTCCAAGAAGTTTCGAAAGCTAAAATTCGCATAAGATATGGGTGAGTGATCGTTTCTTCCTCCTCATCCTCCTTACAACTTCTGTAGCATCTTCCATAGGGAGCCCTTAGCCGTTCCGTGTGTCATCCTATCATGCAGTGGGCTGTCGGAACTCCTATTACTTTGAACATGTCTTTTCTCTTTAAGGTGTACTTATATCGTGATCTCTTTTTATCGCATTTCAGGCCAGATGTCTCTAGATTTGCGGAAAGTTGTGTTATAATTCCACCTTGGTTCAGCTTGTTCATATATAAATTCCTTGGACTTTTAATGTTTCCATTGCTACTACAAAAACTAAGGGGCATAGTTTTTTTTTAGAGCCGGCTCTAAGTCAGCTAGATCTGGTTCTAACTAAAAGTGTACTTTAACTCAATCATAGTCGAGTGAGAAACGGCTTTTGTGTTTAAAGCCAGCACTAAAGTTAGGCTGAGAAAATACTGGTACGAGGGTTATGTTTCATATTTCGAGATTTGGAAACCCTTGTTTTACAATCTGTGAACTGACAACTTTATCGAAAAGTTTGACAATCGAGGTCGTCCGAAATCAGTCACTTGATCACATTTCTATGTCCTACAAGAATATATTTTCTTTTGCTGTTTTGTGACAGTTAAAGACACCCTTTCGGACTGTAGCCTTAGCCGGTGTTTATTAATTGTTTGTTGATAGTACCGTCGTCTACGGTATTCCCATAGGTTGGATATATCACAAGAAACCAAAAACGTTTGTTAAATCTTTCTCTCAAAGACACCTATTACCGCGACTCGTCAAATGTAGTCATCGTTTATGATTTTGCGCCACATATGTAGTACAAAAGGAATGAAGAGCGACTTTTGGACTAATAATAATGTCAGCCTTAAAATCAATGGCAGAATAACTCTTGCCAACAAATGTTACTTTGAACGGAGTAGGCAATTGAAAATTAAAATCCTCCTTCGACGAATCAAAACCAAACTCTCTACAAGTCCATCATCTTTCCCGTCCTACTTTTATATTGTGTAGAAACGTTGACAATGCTGACATTCGGTGAGTCGGCCATGCAAGTCTTCGAAAGAAAAGTTTTGCGAAAGAATCGCGCGCTATTGTTGATTCGGCTATAAGCGCATAACCGTTGTTTGTTGTCGTTGAGGAGCGAAAGAAGACAATTTATAGTATCACTTCTATAACTGAGTGCGTGAGAAAATAATACAAGTGGCAGAATTAAATAGAGAGAGAGAGTAGAAACTTCTATGAGAGCTTTGGTTATACTTTCTCTAGACTGGATAAGTATGCAAAGAAAATGTGTCGGATTTTGAAAGAGCACAAGACCAAAAATCTCTTGTCATAAAACAAACAGCCTGAATATTCCCATATTGGCTGTTAACAGTCATAACCTTGAAGTCGAAGATAATTTCATTATGATATCTGAAAGGTGGATCAGGCGAAATTTGGTATATTTCTCCGAAAAAAACTCAAAATATACATATTAGAAGTCAAAATAGGATTTTTACCCCTTTCGATGGTCCTGTGTATCTGGGATTTAGTTTTTCAACAAATTAATTTCATTAAATGCCAAAAATATGACATATATCATATAAGCACTTGAGTGTTTAATTACGAATTATTCTTGCTTTAATTTCCGCTTGGGTTAAATTTGTTAATTTTGTTTGCTTTGAGGTTAGAAGTATTTTTGTTTGATTCAAATATCACATGTAGAGATTAAATAGCAATAATTAATAAACTTTGTTAAGTCGAAAGCAGTCGTAAGCGTTTGTTAGTTGAAATGTTTATAAAAAAATATAACCATAGTTAACTTTCGTTTACATACCTACATAAGTATATATACGTATTTGAGTACATAAACATTTACAGATATTAAGACTGTTTCACGGTTAGCTTCACATACGCACTGCACTTGTGGAAACTATTTGTTATTGCATGCATGCACATACATACATACATATGTAGTTGCTGCCTGATTTCAATGCATTTTTAACTCACAACCATATCTCTGTAGACGGTTAGTTATTGCCACTAGGCCATGTCCTTGGCCTTCGAACACAACAGTCTCACTGCATACACTTGCAGCTGTTTCAATGTTATTCAATTTTCTCTCACGACTTCTCTGCCGCACACGATTTTTTACATTCCCTAACATTGCAAATGAGCAATGAGTTTTTATTTCCTTACAGGAAATAACGAAAGTTGCATTTATATAAAATTCTGAATTTTTATTACGTGTCAACATTAGTTCTGAAAAAAATATATAAAAATTAGTCCAAAAAAATATCAAAGCACCAATATTATTGAAATTTTAATTTATTTTAGATAAAATATATTTTCACTCATTTCTAAAGTACTATGTATAGAGATATTTAAATAATCTTATTTTTTTATTAACGATTATTGGCAAAATCAACACAAGCACGCCAATAATCCTTATTTTCGCTGTTTTGGTGCCTGTTGGAAACACCAAATGAAAGCAGATCTCTTTCCACCGGATCCTTCTAACGGCGTGGACGTCTTTCTTTTTCTCTGCTTTAACCAGTGGGTACTGCAACAAATACTTTCAAAGCATGAGCTCTTTCAGTTAATCGGACGGCCTGGCTAAGCCAGCGTAAGCACTGTCTCTTTATTTGCTGATCGTTCCATCCTCTGCGGTATTTGTCATAGGACGGGTAATATGAGTAACTTGTAGAGTTTGGTTTTGATTCGTCTCGAGAATATTTAAATATAGCGGCGAGAGGATTTGAATATTGTCAAACGAAAGCATGTCCTACGATTGAAATCTACCCCATAAAAAGATCGAGCACACAGTTTACAAAAATGATCGTAGGATAAACCTCCTCAATATTTAAGGTCTATCTGGCGCATAGTGTGAAAAGATAAAGCTTATCTTCAACAAACTAATTGGACTATTCTAATAATCACGTAAAAGATCCATGAGAAAAGATTGGTGCACACCACAGCTTACGATATCACGAAAATCGATTGTCTGCCTCTACACCTCTTTTTCTGAATTTAGCCTCTTCGCAAATATTCTACGGCGAAGTAAACTGACCTGAACAATACCCGAAGCCTCGAGGGAAGTGTAAAGAAGCACTACGAGCCGTTTTCAGTACCATACAAGGTTTCAGACAGAGTGAATATTTATCGTGTGACTTCTTCACCGTTAGTGTATGCCGACGATATTGATATAATTGGCCATAGCATATATCGCCTGTCATTTAAAAAATAGTCAGATCAATTGGATCTTTGCTATTACATCACTATCTTCCTAGGGACCAGCAACAAAACCAACAACAATTTTAACGTTAACGAGAGTTAACGAGAAATACCCGCATGGTCTGTGAATGAATATCATTCTGGTAACAGCTGCCGCTTCATAAAAAAAGGGTTCCATTTCCAAAGCGGCTGATGACTATTGATGACAAATGGATCACTTATAATAGCAACGGCAAACGGAAATCGTCGTGGGTAAAAGGCAGTGAGCCGACACAAATGATCTCCGTGCCAGGATTGACGATAACAAAGTTATTTTTTGTCTACTTGGTAGGATTGACGATAACAAAGTTATTTTTTGTCTACTTGGTGGGATTGGCAAAGCATTATCAACTACGAGCTGCTTCCCTATGGCCAAATTTTTCTTTTGGACCTATACTGTCAGCGATTGGGCCGATGGAGGATATGATCGCCAAGAAGCGCCCAGCTTTTGGCCAACATGAGGAAAATTGTGTTTCATAAGGACAACGCCTGACCGCACAAATTGAAAAGTATTTATGCATCCACCTTATATTCCGGATTACCATCTGTTACTGACTTTGGATTATAAACGCAAAATTGTTTTTGACATCATTCGAAAAGTTCGATAGTAATCGAATATTTAAACACTCTATTGGTACCGCGGTAGCCGAGTGGTTAACATTGGCTACTGTCATTCGGAAGGTTCGGGTGCTAATCCTGGTGTCGTACGAACATCCAAAAGTTATAGAAAATTTATTTAAATAAAAAATTGAGCTAAATTTTCTAATTACGGTCGCCCCTCGGCAGGGAATGTCAGCCCCTCCGAGTGTATTTCTGACATGAAATGAAGCTCCTCATAAAAAAACCATCAGCCGTTCGGAGGCGACTTAGTATAAACAGTAGGTTCCTCCATTTGTTGGAAAAATATCAAGACGTAAAACCACTAATTGGAGAAGGAGCTCCGCCGAAAAACCGCTTCAGCGGAGCAGTTACAAAGCGCCAATTATATATATATTGGTATTCGTATGAGGAGTTGAAAATTGAGAACTATA